AGACCTGAAATATTTCAGTTAGTGTGCAATGAATCTAAAATATATGAATGTTAAATTTTCATCATGACATTATGGAAAATAATGAACTTTATCACAATATGCTAATATTTTGAGAAGGATCTGTACTGGTATTTAGATGTTCCTGACCTTTCTTAGAAAGAACTCTATACCCCAAAAAATGTCTTCAATGTTGAAAATACTATTATGTATTTGTCTACTACTGCTATCAGGTTGGGGCTGCGCAGTGGTGCAGTTGGTAGCACTGTTGCCTTGCAGTGAGAAGGTCCTGGGTTCAAATCCCAGCCCAGGGTCTTTTTGCATGACCATTGGGTTAATTGGTCAGAACCTGAGGCGTGTATGGTTGTTTGTTCTGTGTTGCCCTGCCTGCAACAAACTGGTGACGATTCCAGTGTGTACCCTGCCTCTTGCACATAGACTGCTGGAGGCAGTCTTGCCCATAGAGGTAGTCCAGGCCCCCGTGACCCTATATAGAAGAAGCGGGCATAGAAAATGAATGATATTAGGTTTGAAATTTTATATGACAAATCTACTGTTAAGCCTTTTTCTCAATAACAAAAAGTTTTCTTGGACAGAACTATGATTAACAATTTTTTTTTTATTTTTCTATAACAATCAGAACCACCCTGGCCTCCTTGACACTTTCCTCTCAGTGATGATACATTGCATCATTGCTTTTTGTCTGATCTCTCTTCAAAGCAATTTAGAGTCAATGGCAATAACCTCCACAAAAGCTGAAACAGTAAAGTTTGTGGGAAAAAAAGTACCTCTGTCAGTCTTTGGCCATGACTGTACATGTTTAATTTCAAATGGACTGCATGCGTTATTAAACTTTCCCTTACACTGATTTTTTATTGTGAAGTAAGTGAGGCACAGCTGAGACGCCACTATGATGTCAGATCTTGGTGGAAAAGCCAGAATGAAAAACAGAGGCCACATTTACTCATTCCAGATGTCAGGAAAAGAGTTTCTACTTGCCATGAAAAGCGCTCTGTTTGCTTTGAAATCTCAAGAGAGTTGGTATGAGACACAATTTACGCAGTTTAAAAGTTAACCAGACAAATGTACACATCATTTAATTTGTGTTAGTTTACCTTCACGTAATTCGCCCCTCTTTTAATTGTAAATAGACATGACAGATTTTCTTTTACTCCTAAAATCAGGTCCATTTGTGTGTGTCCCCTAACCTCAACAACTTTGAGATTCTGTCGCAGCTCTGCCTATCCCATTCAATGGATATAAAATCTCTTGATTTTCAGCAAGTTACTGCAAGATAAACTAGAAACATGCAGTTTGGTTTCTTTACTTTCATAAGACTTGACACCCTCTAAAATGACTTAAAGTTGCTTTAAAGAAACGAAAACTAATCAGGATCAGTGCCTAAAATTCAACATGTGGCTGTAGTTTTCGTCAATTTGTGCACAAACAGTGTGACTACAACCTTGATTAAGCAATCTGCTTTGGAAATTCAGCATGTATGTGGTTGTAAGTTATTTCCAATTCATCATGCACACTAATGCCGCACATTCTGTTGTATATTGCAACCAACTTGTCACAACAATCAATAGTCATACAATAGTATTGAGCAATGCAATGTATTTTAAAGTTCACATGTACAGTATTTAACCTAAGAGATGCCAAAACAATCATAGTTTTTTTCCCTTGTAGTTTAAGACTTTTTTGATTTTTATCACTTATAAAATACAGTGGCAGCAAGCCCCTCGTTCTGACCCTCTGCCACCCACCACATACACAAAACATACATAAGAAACTTCCTTTTTCCTTACTGCAAAATGATTGTCACTAATCATGACAGAACAGAATATCTTAATTGTCCACCATGGCGACTCAACAATAAGAGACCACAAGAATGCTAAATTACAGTCCAAAAAAATCGAGAATTGCAATAAAAAACTGATTCAAAATAAGCAAAGAATTTGAAAAAATTAGAGCAGTTCAAGTGAATGTCTTTGAATTGGACAGTTTGCTTAGTTAAGAAAGCTGATGGAATTTGAGAGAAAGAATTTCTATACACTTTTCTCTTGTAGTTTTCCCCAACTCCAAAATTGAGGCACTCAGTCGGAGGCTTGTGAGTAACCCCATTAATTTGGGCAAGGCTCAACTCTTCTTGCGGTCAGCCAAGTCACTGCAATTATTCAATTGCTCTTAATCTGACCCCTTCCCTGAGGCCACTTTGCCATGGGAGACCCTGACCATGAGCTACAGCTCTGGACAACATAGGCCTCATCATTGGAGTAAACAAACCCTCCACCACGTTAAGGTGGCGATTCAATGCACTATTATTTTGTTTATCATGTGTAAGCTTCATAGAATCATTTCAAACGTTAGGTTGCTTAAATGTCTAAATAAATAATTTGCTTGTCTTCCATTGCCCACAAATCCTTCTTTTAGAGAAATATTTGATCTTCATTTAATCTTATTTGACACGTCTTTGTAGTCACAAATATTAGAGGGAGATTTAATCCCCTAAATAACTAACATATGTGACAAACAAAAACAGCATGAAAAAAATTTAAAAACACTAACTCAAATACAGGTTTTGCTCATCTCTTATCGATTTGTAGAGGGGGGATATTCATTAATAAAAAGAAATAAAACTTTTTACTTTTGAATAAACTACTGAATTAAATTACCGTCTACTGCAGCACCACAGTAAAAGGTGATGGGCAGAAGTGAGTAAGTGAGATGGGGGGTGGGGGTTGAAGAGGTGAGTAAGAGATGAGTCAACAGCCCTCTAATATAAGATACACCGATGGAGGCAAACAGTGTCACCCATTCAAACGCCAAGCAAGGTAAGGTCTATTCTCTCTGCGTCTAGTTAGATGTCTTATTTACTTTCTTCAGGTGTTTCCCTCTTTTTTCTATCAAACATGTTCTTTATCTAGTTGTGTATCGTTTCCTTTCATAAAAACTTTACTGGATTTTGAGAAGCTTATTTAGGTCATAGATTATAAGCATTTTGTCTTTTTCCTGTTTGACATCACTTTCTAGTGCTTTCAGAATACAAAAAATAAAAAAGTACAGAAGAAAAAAATGGTGTTAGCTAAAGAGAGTGAACTTTGTGTTACACATTCAAAAACTCACGGAGTTGTCTATACTACAAATATTTGCTGCTACAAAATATTTTGAAACTAAAACTAAAAGGTGAAACAAATGTACTGCATGTGTCTGATTTTCTAAAAGCTAGACATAGGAAAGAGCTGTATTCTGACATAAATGTATCACTTCAAATCATGATTTTTTTCTTCCAATTCATATTCTAGGAACTTCTTCTGTACCCAGGAAAATAAAATCATTATGGACCTCACGCTGGTGACCCTGTTTTTCTTGTTTCATGTTCTAAATGTGGGAACAGGAAAACCTCTGCCAGATGACAAGAGCATTATTGAACTGAAAATAAAAACGCTTATGGTTAGGTTAAACACTTTCCAGGTATGTTTCAGAGCATTGCTTAAACTTAAATCTAAAGTGCTTCTTGAAGCTTAAATAAATGAACTTGTTTGTGACTGAAATATGTTCTTATTGCCATTTTACAGACTCTTTCTAGCTTGAGAGTCGCTCCTCCTGCTGAACTACAAGGATATTCGTCCATAGTGGCGGCCCTGGAGGGTTACAACAGCCTGATCTCTGAAAATCTACTGAATGTTGTCCAAGTCAGAACTGACATCTCCGAATTGACCAACACCATCATTCACAAACTGATGAACTGCACGGCACAAAACCCAAAGCTTATAGTTCCAAAGCGGCTGCAGCAACTGCAAAACGAATTGGAGCAGGACCCAGAACGCCATGTCGAAGCTGTGAGCTTAGAGGCTCTCCTTGGAGTAAAGGAGATCCTAAAGTTGCTCCAAGACAAATTTGATGGTATGGCCTCTTGCTGAAAATAGACTTTGAGGCCAAAATATCTAACATTTTTACAAGATTTGTAAATTCTGCACTAGCACTGAGTGAGGTGGAATTTTGTGATACACTTTGAAATAATTTTATTTAAGAAAAAATCCACTTATAAAGAAAATATTTATTTCTTGTATTTTATTTTTTGTATTTTTAACCTATTTAATCTTTGCTTCGAACACATCTTGATTTATTGTTTGTTACATGGCAAGACTGTTGAGTCAACATCGCTCTCAGTGAGAGTGATTGGTCTAGTCCTAACGCTGAATCAGCAGTTTTGATGACTGCAACCAGATGAAATGGCATAGGAAGCACCGTCACTCCCGGAAACTCCGGAAACCTAAACTGAAGCCAACTGGTTTGGCTGAGAACCAAAGGGTAAAGGGTTTGTGCAATATTAACAGCTGCTGAAAAAAGGGAAAATGGTCACAGGAAACGTGGAATATTTTTGCACAGTGAGTACGATGTTTTATGTTTTTAATAAAACTATAAATAAAAATTAAACTCTTTCCTACCGGTCAGTGCTGTGGAATTTGTACAAGTGGGCTGGGAAAAGTAATAATGAAGTAAAATGTTCTGAGTGGACTTGTGTGTATCAATTCAATTCAAATTCAAAAATACTTTATTAATCCCAAAGGGAAATTAAATGTTGTTGTAGCTCATTATGAGGGTTTCTTCAAAGAGCCGTTGTAGATGCTGATGGCTGTGGGCAGGAAGGATCT